TTTGCTATGAGAGCTGATTATGTGGTTGTGCTTCCGTTTGTTTGCAACCCTGCCCAAAATCTTGCCGAGTGGCGGATTTTGCTTGTTTGGTATGATCAGTCAACTCACTCTCCAGGGATGGACGTAAGCTAGCGCTTAACAGTGCCGGTACAATCAGAGATAATTGTTCTGATTGCATAGGGATGGTGGGAGAGAAGTACACCTCATTAAAATTGCTTTGTCTTTCCAGGTGCTCATTAGTCTCATACTGATGAACAGTAAATGCACTCATACTTGCCCTGGTTAAAGTGAATGGGTGACCTGTGAATGGCCTACTGCACAATCCAATCAGATATGGTGCAATTAACCACTCGGCTTCATTTCAGCAAAACTGACCATTTGACACGTAAGTGCAAAGGCATGGGAGGAAATGCGAAATGGGCAAGAAGACGAAGCAATTTTCTTCTAGCCTGGTAAAGCAGCACATCTGTGAGAGAGTGAGAAGTGCAATGGACGATGAAGAGAAATCGTTACTTGAGACGCGAGGAGCCAAATGAGGCCACGCGATTCCTGATCTGGTAATTCAATTGCCTGTGGTCTGACAAACTGCAACTACAATTGGCACACCTGACGGATTGAAAGAGGCGGAAAATAAATTGATGATTAAGGTGAATGTGGAAAGAAAGTGAAGAAGGTGAAGAAATGATCGGTAAAATGGTTTGATGAAGCCGCAGCTTGATAATTGTATCCTTACATTTGCTTTAGTCTTAGTGGAGAGTAAATGGGCTGGAATTTTTAGTAGGATAGTAGCGAGTGGGAATGGCTATTGGGTTTAAAGGAATGATAACACGGATTCAAAAATGTGAACTATGTGCTATTTATTGTTGTTTCAGAAATACTAATGTTGTCAGTCTAATTAACAGTGAACTCGGAAAGTCAAGCTAGAATTGGTTCCTTGTTGGCTTTGGAACTGATGGGTAAGTAGATGGAGCAGATCAGTCTAAGTGAAAAGGCAAGAAATTAAAGTGGAGCACTTAATGAGCAGACAGGAGATCTTATCGCATCACATCCATCACATTTACTTAGCCTCGGATTGAAATACTTATTTAATGCATCCGAATTGGTCATCTACGAGGGTTAATCTTGCCAATGGGTGGAAGGTAATCCAGTAGGTGGTTATATCCACATGACTGACACGAAGTGGTGAAGATCATGTGAGGTCTGTGACATCATCCCTAAAGGGGCGAATTGAGTAACCACATCGAGACTTGCATGTGTTGGTCAATTGTGAATGTGTAATTAGGCCTTATTGACGGAGTTCAAACAATCTCATCATTCATGCACTTATTGTGCATGACCGGGTTTCAAAAAAACCCGTGAGTATTTTGTAGCACTGGAAAGAAGGGGAGCCAGAACTTGAATAATTATTACCCTGTCTTTTAATTAATGGTATCAGTGTTGCAATGTAGGAGTGTGCCAGAGGCGCAAAAGCTAAAATGCGTATCAACGCAATCAGTGTTTTTACAGTTTTGCAAATGACGATGTGACATATTTGACA